TTTCCTGTTATTTCCTACTCTGTATCTGAACTGACTTCTGCATGTACTTGTGATTTATTTGCACAGTATGAATTCAGATTCTTTATTTGATGCTGTTCATGGAATGCAGTACACATGCTCGTTGCAAGGCAAAGAACAGAAAGAGAAATTAGGAAAATTTTCTGTGTTAGCAAGCAGGGTATTTGCACACAGCTATGATCTGGCATAATACATAGTATTTCCCCATCTTTTCAACTATGTTCTAACTACCCTGCTTGTTTTTCAAAGCAAGAGACAAAAATAATTCTGAAGCCTTTCAAGAACCTATGGTTAAAGGAGATTTCCCTCAATTCTCAAAGCAAACTCTTCAGCAAAATTCTTCTCCCCGTCCATGTGATGAGTCACACTGACCCCCCTTGAAATCAGTATGAAATGTTAGATCATTCAAAAGCAGCAGATCTAAAGGGGGAGAGAAGAAGCTGCAAATGTGTTCTGACAAGCGGATTTCAGTTTCCTTAGAATATAAAAATAAGCTTTCTTTGTGAATTTCATTAAAGGAAATGTCGTGTTGATTTTGAGAAAGGGAACAGAACGAGAGAGCAGCAACTCTGTAGAAGTGTGTAGTATTTAATTAAGATAAAACATTCTTTGAGTTGTGGATTCCTGTTTTATTTTGCTGCCTTAAACTGTGTTGCTCTCTGGAATTTATTTGGGGATAGGTAACATAAAAGAGTAAAACAGGAGATTCAGGTAGGTTGGTATAGCAGGGTGGCATGAAACTACAAACCAGAAATCCAGTTATTATTCAATAAGTTGCAGGGTTAAAAATGGAGACAAGATGACTGAAGTACTCTCCAGAGCACGATGCTTCAGTTTTAGGGAGGGAAACTTTCAAAGGGAGATGAATTGCTTTTCCACTGTTAACTAAAAGTCATAGACTTGGTTTTCACTCTTTGATGTGAAAGACTTGATGTAGATCCTGAGCCTATCAATGTATTTATGAACAATTATGCATCTAGAATAACAATGAGAGAGAAAAGGGAAAAGTGTTTCCCACAGCTAAAGAAAAATGCTTCATGGAGCTTAAGAGCCCACAGGTGGGAAGGTGAGCAGGCCATACTGTGAATTTAAAGCTGGCCAAAATAAATACGACTTTGAAGAATCTCTGGAATATAGGCGCTTCTTTCCTAGATTGACTATAATGTTCTGTATTCTAGTTGTTAGAGCTTCTGTTTCCAATTTTAAACAGTTCAGCCATGAGAGGAGCAGATATGTTGTGACTGAAGCACTCATTTCAAAGAACTGTTCTCAGATACTAAGTTCCCATTTCTTAGTTTCTTGTCTTCAGACTGACCTTAAAGAGTCACTTGAATATTGACAATAGTTCTATGTCCGTGAAACAAGGATTAAAAATACATTCCTCTTCCCAACTCCCTTGTGCTGTTGAGGCCTAATATAGGCTGAGAGGGCTACATTTTATTGAAATACAAGCTATAGTAGGGACCAGTTTAGAAAAATATAAGCCTTCATTTATAACACTCAAAAATGGTTACAGTGTTTAAAAGTTTCAAATGTACTTCAATCTTATTTTTAAAAGTGTCTGAGTCATTTAAGAAACTGATTTTACTCTCTTGCCATGAAATGAAGAACTGATATTAGGACTTAGTTACCAAAATGTAGGTTTGTTTTTTTTTTGAAAATGTTATCCTTCGTTAACTACTTAAGCCCATTTGTATACATACCAATAGAAACTAAATATGAGGAAGACTCCAAGACTCACTTGTTTTCAGTAGATCTCTACGTGAAGAGCTATCTCCTTCTTGTGTTTGAGGGTGGGGGAGGTTCTGTGTTGAGGATTTAAAATACAAATTTTGTAGTCAAAATTGCACATTCTTGATTGTTTAATAATGTGGTTTCTATTCATGGTGCGTAGCATAGAAAAATAATGCACAAGAGGCGATAGCAATTGAAAGTTATTTGATTGCAGTCTTTAAAAAGATGAATTCTGTATTTAGCTGTAATCAACTGCCCCTTAAAAACCTCTCTTCTGCTTAAAAACAGCTTTTGTAGAGTCTGCATCTGCCATAATTGGTTTTGTAGAGTCTATAAATATGCTTCATTTACCTTCCTTGAAGAGTTTCCTAAAAGGGAGGGACAGTTTTTCATAGACCAGAAACAGTGTGTGCCTCTGTGGGTGCGTGTGGGTGCGTGTGGTGTGTGTGTGTGTGTGTGTGTGTGTGTGTGTGTGTGTGTATTTTTCTATTATAAATTTTTTATAAATATCTATTTGAAATTTCATTCTGCTGTTTTTCTCTCTTTTCAGCTTCTGGTTGGGATCATTCAAGCAGCTGAGCTGCCTGCATTAGATATGGGTGGTACATCTGATCCCTATGTGAAAGTTTTCCTTCTGCCTGATAAGAAGAAGAAATATGAGACAAAAGTCCACAGAAAGACCCTTAACCCTGTTTTCAATGAGCAATTTACATTCAAGGTATTTTTTGATAATTATTGAAACGTCTTTCTTTAAGGACTATGCACGCTAAGAAGTCAATCTCATGCTCAGCTACAAAGTTAGATGCATCTTAGTTTGCTGGCAACCAGGGCACAGTGAATTTTTCAGTTGCAGAAACCTCTGAAATTCAGTGTTATGATGTGAATGGGACACAGGGACAGATCCTCAGTAGGTATAAAAGGCACAGCTTGATTTTAGGCACTTGAGCTACCCTGATTTATGACAGTCTGATCCATATGTGATAGTTGGAGACTACTTATAAGAAAGTAGAAAAACAGTGACGTTTTAACAAATGACAGGTGAACTTCACTAAACCAGAATTTTCTTTAAATGTCTTTGTTGTCTGATTTATGAATTTCAGTATACGATTTATTTTTTCCCTCAAAAATAAATTAAAACTCAAGGAAGGCAAACAGATGAAGGAAAACACGTCAGATTAATCTTGCTAGACTTTGCCTCTATCCTGTCATAGCAGTTCTTTACCATGCAGCTTTACCTATGAAAAGAAATTGTGACTCAGGTTAATAATATCAGTAGTAAATAAATGTAGTTAAGGCTTACATTGTAATATTATTAACTTCTTCCAATACTATCTGTCAACAGTGTGCTCCTAAAACTGTAGCCGTACCTAAACTCTGGTTAAATACAATACAGGAATTCAATTCAGCATGTTTCAAAGGGCTTCTCCTAGTGTACATTTCTCTGCTGTTACTTTAGGCCTTTCTCTCCATGTCTTATAATGGCAGCTACAGATTGAAAACAGCAACAGGGAAAGACTCAGGCTATGTAATCATTCAATGAGAAAGATATCCCTGGAGGTCACAACTACTACTGCATACATAAGCTTATTTTTCCCCTTGAAGATGTTCATAAAAATAATCTTTTGTGGGGAGGCATTTTTTTTCTTGAGCTTTCCTAAGAGAATATTTAAAAGAAAACAGAGTTATAAATTACAGATTCCAGTGCAGCGCACACACGCACACATACACACACAAAGCAATAACCAATAATCCTGTCATCTAAAATGAAGGCACAAAGTATAAATCAGAGCATCCTCTCCTGGGCTATAATGTCCACTTGTTTTAAGTCACATTTTTAATATTCAGATTTTACTCTCCAGAAGAAAATTACAGTTTTCTAAGCAAGAACTTGCAGAGGTGTTTAGGTGCACCCCAATAGGCTACTGATCATCCCCTGTGTACTGTTTTCTGTATGCAAGGGAAAGTCAACCAAGCATGCCAAATACTATCATTCTTCCAGGGACTGTACTAAAAAGGCAAGTGACCAAGAATATCAGTGAACTAGTGCTGCAACTTTAATAAATAATTTGTCTGGGAACCACTGACAATATTTCATTTATTTTGGCAAAGCCTTACTTCTCTGAAACACTTGCATGGTGCATTGCTCCCATTGGCATCCCTCCTATCCCTCTCTGGGGCAGAGCTGCCTATGGGGCAACCCCTCTGTTGCTACTCTCTCCCAGGATCGTAGATGTGAGCCGTCTGCCTTCCTCTCAGGGAAAGGCTAAGGGGGAAGAGAGGGCTATTTCTCTGCTCTGTTAATTCTTGAGACTCGAACCCCATCCCTTATCTTCTTTAGGTGATTCCTTGTGTTATTCCCCTTCCACTTCTGTTTCTCAGACATCCATGGTGCAGGTGTCTGTCAGACTAGGTTCAGAGTGACCTGTCAGGGCAAGAAAAAGACTCCTATGTGTGCCTCTCTACCAAGGTCCTCTACCTGCATTAAGTCAATAGGCTGAGTATCTCTGAGCAGAGTAGAAAGCAGGGAGAGGGAACAAGCCTTCAAAGAAGCCAAGAGCATCCTCTGTTGCCCTGAACAAGGCTAACGCTGCTTTAGAGGCGCTGAATGGAAGGAGCATAGATCTTGCAAAACAAAGAAGCTTTATTGAAGTCAAGTTAATGATAAAAAAAAAAGATAAATGTAGTCCTTTCGTGCAATCCAAATGATGGGATCCGTTAAGCAGTGTTGTAAACTGATGGAAAAAGAAGCTTTAAAATGTTTCTGGTTTCCTGTTTTAATGCTCTGTAAAAATGTCTGTGAAATTTATTTAGAGTTTTGTCTTCCATACACACTTGTCTTCTGTAGCTTTTTAGAAAGCTAATTACGTTAACTAATTTACAGATTGAAAATAGATTTTGCTATAGTATTTATTTCCTTTTAATACAATACACAACCCTGTAGCCCCTGGAACTACTGTACACAGTAATGGAAACTGGAGCTGGCCCTCAACTTTAAAAGCTTCTTGTAAACATTATGTAACATGAAGAAGAAAAACTAACCATGTTATTAGTTAGTGTTTTAAAAAGCCGAAAAGTCGAAGCCAAACAGTAACAAAATACATGAGGCTCCTAGAATTTAAACAGACTGGAAAATATAGTTGTTAGCCTGGCCAATGATAATGCCATGCTTTCATTTCTCTTTTTATGTAGACAATTAATAAAGAAATGTTTACTGAAGCCCATGGAAACAATTTATACTTGCAAAATATATTCAAATTGACCAAGTGTTCAATGTTAAGTCCAAACAATTCCTAAATCAGACTTTTCCCAGACAGCCACTCAAGTGTAGCTTACCTGAACTGCACATCTTTGTCTGAATATTAAAAATGTGACTCATAAACATCTTAACCTACAGCATCTGTCCGAAGCACGTCAGAACAGCTGGAGAATTAGTCGGAACTTGGCTTTCTGCCACCACAATTTCTAACTGTGCACTGTGACTTAGAATGAACCTCAGTGTCTACCGTGTGAAAGATATAATAATGAAAAATATGCCTCGGCAAGTAATAGACAGTTGTACTGTAAGAGAACTATTCAGTGTCTAATTACTTTGTGTCAGATACAGTAAGCCAATTCTGTTTTTTTCATCAGTCTGTGAGCTACCCATTTCTAAGTGATGACAGTTGATTTATTGAGGAAAAGATACCATTGTGTTAAAGGTTCATATGTCTTCGGTGCAAATAATTAGGCTTCCTGTTTCAGTTTCATCACCCACAAAATAATGTAGAGTAGAATGGAAAAAACCCAGAGAGTGATGAGTGAGCTGCCACCTTGTTCTGTTGAGTGCTATAGCCTAGTCTCAAAAAATACTGCATCTGATGAAGCTGAAACAAATATACCTCATAATTTTCCCTGCAGTTCAATTTACCTGAGATGACAGCTGATAAACCAAAGAAATAGATTTGCATTGTAGGGGACTCATCTTTATTGTCTGAGAGTTTGTCATTTTCTCTCCTTTACAGGTGCCATACTCCGAGCTGGGTGGAAAAACTTTAGTGATGGCTGTTTATGACTTTGATCGTTTCTCCAAACATGATATTATTGGGGAATATAAAGTGGCGATGAACACAGTGGACTTCGGTCATGTGACTGAGGAGTGGAGAGACTTGCAAAGTGCTGAGAAGGAAGAGGTAGGAAAAATCATTTATTTTTGTCGGGACGCTTTTATCCTCAGCTGGAGAAGCAGTCAAAGCAGCAGCATTTTTTTCTGCCAAGACAGTTCCCATCTGCTATCAGCATTTCTCAGGCTGATAAATTTTTGATAAGCATCTTTTACAACACTCATTGCATGGTACACTCTCCTGTATTAATCCTACATTCAATCTTGATAGTTTAAGTGACCTATGAGGGAAATTTTCAAGACTTTTTCTTGAGTTGGTGCAGTCTGTGTACCTAAACTTTGCATTTGTATTAAAAGTGTGGTGTGCACTGAGGCTTTTTGTAATAATTCCTGAATGTTTACATCTCAAGACATCTTACTGTGCATGAAGATAATGGTAGGTCTTCACTGAAATAGTTTATTGTTTTATTAAAATGCTATACAATAATAAACATCAATTAGAATTATGCATTTAACAAAGATCTTGGAATGAACAGCGTTTTACTCTAATATTAATTGCCTCCTATTATTTTCCTCTCTCTGCCAACATCCTGTATGGTCTTTATTTAGTAGGTACATGTACACAATACACTTTCTGGAAATATTTCATAACTAAATTGTGCATTCTGTGAGATTCTTCACACTGGCAAGGCCACCTTTTTGCTTATTAAAAGAACATTTTCTGCTCAGCTTTACTTTATTTTTCCTTTGATTGCTAGATAATACCTGCCCACTCATAACAGTCAGCGTGCACAGCATGCTTCAGTTCTCTGGTGAGAGAAGAATGAATCTGAGTCTGACTTCCTTGTTGTCTGATTTAGCTAATAAACTGCTTTGTATTCCAACCTCAGTTTCTGTAATTAAAAGGACAATCTTTGGCTTACATCTTTCCC